GAAAAACATGGAAAAGACAGGACACCTATAAACTGGGGCCTTTGGCTATAAAGAACATAAATGAACAACTGGCAGAACTTGAATGAGACCCGAATTTCAGATGGTAGAATTGAATCTGTGTTAATTGTTAATTTCCCAGTTTCTATGGCCATGTTGCAGTCGTGCAGAAGAATAGCCCTGTTTGCAGGAAATGGGGGTGGTGGGGATATCTCACTCTCCAATGATTGGGGGGGCGGAAATGGCTGTGTCTTTACTTTCTGTAAGAATGCAACAGCTCCAAAATAAAATAACACTCTACATTTGGAGGGAAAAACACCCTTATCCTGCTATTCAAACACAATGATCGTTGAAGTTACCTAGTGTGATAAGAGCCGTTGGAATTAATCTTCCACAGCAGATACGTGGAGGAGCACTCTGTAAGCAATGCTATTCATGCCCTGGAATATTCTGCACCCCCCATCCACACACACAGAGCAGAGCCTTCTGAGTCTGCAGCCAGAGCACTTAAAGGTGACCGCTCGTTCTTCTGCCCAGGAACACAAGTTTAGGTGAAAAGGAGAAGGAAGGAAAAGCCTTTTGGTTTTATCTACACAAAGGGACACACTGAGAAAAAAATGTAGAATCCATGTTAAGTTCATTACCTCATGGTAGAAACAGGAATCAGCCTGATATAATAAAAGCACACTGAGTGCGTCTGTGGTATCATTTCATCTTTAAGGAAGAAAGCCTAAACGCTATTTCGTATAAACACTGTCGATCATTAAAAGTAAATTCAAAGATAAAAAACTGATATCCTGAGAAGTTAAGATCTTGCCATGGTGAAGCCAGGATGAAAAGCCATGTGTGGTGTCCCATGATTCGCTCACTGGATATCTGCCCTCTCTCCGCCACACTAGGTGGCTCTCTCCAGAAATACAGAAGAGAAATGATATTCTGTTCTCCAAGAAATAGAATGCCCAGGGAAAACTGAGACAGACATGATCTGGTCAGAATTTGAACTGAGAATCCACTTGCCACGCCATTTAAGACCTATTTTTTCTTTTCACCCTTTACCCCCCCAAAGTCCCCGAACATGTAAGATTGGGAGTCGATTAGTCTTCTAAGATATTATCCCTAACGTTCCCCTGCATATTCTCTTAATGCCTCTCTGTTCGCTCTACGTCAGTAGTGCCATTAATCCCAACCCCCCAGCCACCATTTTGCAAGTGAGAGCAGTAAGTTACTGGTGGCCTCACAAAATTCATTCAGTATTGCTTCTCCCACAAAGTTCAACATGTTCACGGGAATATGAAAATAATCTTCTTGCTTTTCCTCCCTCTTCCAAATGTAATACTTGTGAGTTTAGTCAAGGAGTCAGGAAAGATAGCTGGAACCAGAAAACAAAATAGTATCAATTATTAATATTCCCCATCCTCTGCTAAGGCTGTCTTATCTGAAGCTTGTAAAGTTGTTTAATCTTTTCCATCATCTCAGGGAAAAGAGAGCCTGGAAAGTCCTAGTCATTCCACAGTAACTATCAGTGGGATTTTCCATAACAATCTGGATGCAAAATAAAAATCTTAAGAAGTTGATCCAATTCTAAAACTTACTTCTCAACTTACTAATAAATATGAAGAGACAACCCATCCATATTTTCTTCAAATAACATCTGGTTTGTTGGCCAGACTGCTAATACCTGAAGAAGTTTCTGAGTTTGTTCCAGCAAATCTACATTTAAAGAGCTTAAAAATGCATTTATGCACTAAACATTCTTTTCTACCTCTGACTGAGGGCCAGAGATGGGACTGTGAGACAGCATCTTGCCAAGAAACTGGGAAAAAGGGGAATAAAACTGCCTCCTAAAATCTGAACTGTGAAATCAACACTTGATAGGTCAGGACAAAGAAATGAGAAATCACCAACCACATGGGGACAAAAAAGTTCTAGGCCAGCAAGATTTGGCTGTGACCCCACTAAAGACATAATGCACACATATAAAGACTATATGAATCGATCGTGGAGTCCTCGATGAAGAAGGGCTGCTAAGACAGCCTGAACAGCACTCACCAAAGGCTCCGTGCAGAGTGGAGGGAGTCTGCACCCGCAGGGTTGCGGTAGCATAGAACCAGCATCTTTCTGGTGAAAAATGGCTAGGCATCTTTCTGGTGAAAAATGAATGCATCACTGAATCTCAGCCCCATTCCCCTGGGCTGGCCTGTCTTACTCATGATGGAAAGCTCAACATTGAGCATACAGCCTGGCCTAGAGCAAGCAATCATTAGATTCAGTGACTTTGCGCCAACTCTTTGCTCACAATCTCCTGATTATAATTTGGCTCCTCACATAGTTCAGCCTACAGGGAGAGAATGACCTAGTCTTGTGGATCCGAGAATCCTGGCCACCATGCCAGCCACAGGACTCACTGAAATATATATTTTAGCTGTTAAGCCTGCTTCCTCGCAGTCAGCTCCGAAAGGAAGGGCCCCTGAGTGCTCTTCCCGGTCTAGTTTCTGAGCCCACAGGCTGGCCGGCAGCAAGTCTCTGGGTCACGGTAGATTCACCAGGATGGTGATGATGGTGGTGGCCATGGGGACAACTGCAGCCATGTACTGAGCACATTCAAGGCGTCAGACCCTGCACAATGTGCTTTACATACTTGAACTCATTTAATCCCCACAACAATCCAATACATTAGACACTATTAGCATTCTCATTTTGTAAATGAGGAGACTGAGGCTCAGAAAGCTTCAGCAACTTACCCAAAGACCCACACTAGGATTCTACACTCAGACTCGGATTTGTCCGACTCTAACACTTCATCTCTTATGTTGTGAAAATATGACCTTTGGGGGAATGGACCCTTACCCTTCTCCTGGCCACACTCCTCTGCTTCAGCAGTGTGCTCGGAGCCATTCCAGTCTGTCTGCAACATGACTGGTCATCAATGCACCATTATTGGACCAGGCTTCACATCAGTGCACAGAAAAGTTAGCAGTTTATCCACAATCAGAAGTGCACAAAGCCAACCCTATCTCAGTGAACCACATCACTATCCATTCTGTGCCATCAGAAGCCAAAAATGGGGGCCTCTCCTTGACCCTTCCCCCCCCCACCTCCATTGTCAATAAACCTCTTCGATACTTTCCTAATGAGTCCGCTTCTCACCATGACCATGGCCACTACCCATCCTTCTGGACCTCGACACAAGTCTCCCAGGTCATGTGTTTGCTTCTACTCTTGCTCTCCTTTATTTGCAACCATACACCCAGTGACCATTCCTTAATCCAGTCATGACCTTCCACTGTTTGAAAATCCTTCAGTGGATCCCAACCTCTCCATGTCCTCTGTGCTTCAGTCCTAACAGTGAATGGTCTGCAGGTCTTGGAATACCCCCAGCCCTGTCTGCTCCAACATGTTCTGCAATAGACCTGCATCCTCCCAGAGCAGTCTTCCCTCCTCCGGTCACCAGTGCAAGCCTTTGGGGCTCGCTCATGCTTAAGTGCCTACAGGAAGCCTGGGTTAGCTGCCCATCTGAAGTGTTCGTGTCACACTCAGCATACCCTTGATCTCACTGGGTGGGAATTTCCCTTCATGTGACTCCACCCACAGACTGTGACCTCCCTGAGGCCCAGGACCCACTCTGTTTATACAAAGAGCTTGCCATTAAAACAACGCATGATGAATGCATGAGAGCGTGGTTAACTGCGCAGGTGTCAGAAGCCACCCAGCTTCCTCAAGCCCCAGCTGTGTGGTCTGGAAAAAAATGCTGAATCTCCCCAGGCCTCAGATTCTCTGTCTATAAAACCGAGATCATAAAACCTCCACTATCATGCTGTTGTGAGCTTTTCATGTAATATGTGGAAACTCTTCAGCACCATGCCCGGTATATAATAAGTGCTCACACGCTGGTTGTTGTTTGTTGTTGTTACTCTGTCCTTTGAGGCTGAGCCACAATGTTCTTTAGAGGCCTCAGAGATCCTCCCGGGCCCCCGTGATGACTTGGCTCCTCCAGCTCTCCTCAGCACTCACATTTTACCCTTCCAAATGTATTAGCTTCCATTCTCGAATATACTGCTAAAGGTTCTGTCCCTTCAGTACTTCCTTCAAGATACCTAACACTCCAACAAATGCTTTAGGTGAAATGACATCAAAATTTGCCCCTGAGCACACCTGACCCTTAAACCATGGACATCACGTGGCACCTCCTAACCACACAAACGCCACCCAGAGAGGCCAGCATAACCCCCAGAGGAGCACACATAGGACTTTCCACAGGAAAGCTGTGGAGCTGACAGGTGGTGATCCCAAAATAGCCATCAGGTCTCAGAACGAGGTCACCCTTTCTCACAGCAGACGTGGGAAGGTGAATCACGAGACAAGTGGTTTAAGAGAATGGCATAGCTCCTCTATGGAATATTGTGCAGCTATTAAAAATAGGTCGGGGGCCAACCAATAAAATGGCGATTAAGAATGCATAAGAGATGGTGTATATTAAAAAAAGATGATGTTTTTTGATCACAATATGTCACATTTGCTTTAAAACATTTAAGGAAGTAGACCAAAATTTCAATAGTTGTAGCAGGGTGATGAGCTTGTGGGCGATATTCTCCTTGATTCCCCACACCTTTTGCAGGGTTGTCCTATTCCTTTAAAACTGCAACAAGAATTCTTAAAATACATACATTCTGCGTGCCTCCCCCGCAGATGGCTCCTGGAAGAGATGAGATGGTGTAGATGAGACGCCCGAGGCTGAAGCCTGACTCAGCAGCGTGCGGACCAGGCCGAACCTGGGCCCCGGGCCGCGGGGATGCGATCCCGCCCCTGCCCGGTTCCTTCTTCACCGGCCACCGCCGCGCTAAGGAGCTCAGCGTGCAAAGGGCCCAGCCCTCCACCCAGCCCCCCACCGCGCTGCCCCCCGGCCACCCTCCCTGCGACCTTTCTCCTCGGCAAGAGGGAGGCGCCGCCAGCGGCCCCGCGACCTGGCCCGCGCCCCCCGGCCGCCCACCCCGCGGCCCGCGTACCTCTTGCAGGGGATCAGCGCCTTGCGCTCGTCCAGCACCCGCACGCGCTCGTTGAGCCCGTCGTAGGAGAGCAGGGCGCGGCTGTTGCGCCCGCTGCTCTGCCGGTACAGAACCTGGCGGCCCTCCCACTGCTGCGGCGCCTGGCACGGGCGCGGGGTCCCCGGGGCGCCCCCGGCCCTCGCCCCCGGTGCCGCCGCCCCCAGACCGCAGAGGCCGCCCAGCGCCCAGAAGCAGAGGCCGCCCAGCAGCCAGGCGCCCAGGGCCTCCCGGGCCACGCCGAGCCGAGCGCGCCCCGACATCGCCGACCGCGGCGCCCGCCGCCCCCCGAGAGCCAGCGCGAGCCGCAGGGGGCGCTGAACCGCGCGGCCGCCGCGCAGCCTTCGGCCGGGTGCGGGATGCGGTCTCGGCGAGCTGGCTGCCTCCGGCCGCGGCCCCCGCCGGCGGTTGGGGTCAGGCGCGCGAGGTGCGGGAGCCGGGACCAGGGCCTGGGAAGGCCCGGGTGAATCGCGGGAGCGGTTCCTGCCTGGGCCGCTGGCCGCTGCGGCGTCTGTTTCCACTTGCTCTCTGCTGCCAACAGGAAATGCAGTGGCAGCGGTGCCACTAGCATCCTGAAGGGCATCCGCGTTTGAGAGGGGGGCGGGGTGAGGAGCGGGATGGTGGGAAGGAACATGTGTCTCCACTAACTGCAGTGTGCGGCAGGTAACCACATACTGGGAGACAACGTCAAGTTCAAGGTCGGGAAGGCCATGCTACTGCACTTGCTGTGCCCCCACACCGCTTGCCCCTTTGTCAAAATGTACAGCTTCTTCCTCCAAATTCGAAATGGAAAGAAGGGTCCCTTCCTGAAGAAAAGATGTCAGTCATTCATCCTGACCCTTTTCTTAGTATAGAGCCCAGGGGGCTAGGGGACAAGCCCTGGCTCTTGGGCATAGGACTGAGTCAGGGACAGCGCCTTGAGGCCACGCTTGCAGTGAGACTGCTACCCTCACCCATCACCTGACAAGGCCACAACCCTAGAGGTATGGGATTCTGGGATTTTAGCATCAAGAACAAAGTTAATTGGGTTTATGGTTTATGTTTTGTAATATTAGGATGTACCGTATGGAATTAAGAAAAAGAAGCAACTTAAAAAAAAAAGACCCTTGCTTTCCTAATGTATAGCATCTCTTCAGTTCATCTGTGTTTCATGAATGAGGAAGTGAGCCAGGTGAAAGAAGGAGAGAACATTCCTGGACGAAGGACATGGGGACAAGGGAAAATGGGTGTAGCACTTTTAAGGAGAGTAATTTGGAGCCAGATCACTCAGCGCCTTGAAAGTCAGGGAGGGGCGCCATCAGGCGTGGGCCTTAGGAAGCTGGGTCAGATGTGAGGGTGGAAAATGGGCAGGGAGAAGGAGGAGGGAGATGTTATAAATCAGATGAGGGACAGTGATGTCTGAACTGAGATGGTGGCAGCAGGAGAGGGTGGAACGGAGATGAGGGTGGAACAGAAGGAGGAAGAGCTTTCTGGTTTGGGGCCCTGGGAGTTCAGTCCTGAATGAGGAAAGAAGACAAATCAGTTTAGGATTGGTTGACTCTGAGATGCCTGTGGGATATGCAGGTGGAAATACCCCAGGAACAGTTGGATAAGCACTTCCAGAAAGCTGCAGGACTAGAGGGCTGGTTTGGGAAGCAGTCAGCATCTGGGTGATAACTGAAGCCAAAGAGGAGAACAGCAGGGGAGACCATTGGCGATATCTGGAGAAATGTTTGATTGTCATAGCAGGGTGGGGACTAAGCCACCACTGGCATCTAGGAGGCCAGAGATGCTACTAAACTTCCCATAATGCACAGGAGCCAATAAAGAATTATCTGGCCCCAGTGTCGGGAGTGCTGAGGTTGACACTCCTGGAGAGGCAGGGCATGTCGAGAGCGAGGACTGGGCATGGAGCCCAAACAGAGGAGTAGGCCTTTAAGGAGACTGAAAAGGAACCACCAGAGAGAAGCCACTGACCAGGGGAACTTCCTCAGTTTCGTGAGCTATTGGCAAATCAGTGTCAAGTACAGGGTAATGGATTGAGTGCTAAGGCAGGGCCTGAAGACGAAGGCCAGTTGATGGAATCTCCTGATGAATCCTTCACTGCTGCCCCACCCCAAGTAGAAGCACTAAAGACAGGCTGCCAGTGGACCTCCTGGGGGGGGGGGGGCAAAGAGCTTTATAGAGGGGACCTCTTACCTTCTCCTCCCCCCTTCTTAAAGGACATGCCCTGGGGAACATCAGGGCAATGCCTGCAGCATTGTGACTTGGTACTTGCTGGGACAGACGCAGCAGGTTCCAGCTGGCTGTGCCAGGGACAGCCCTTTCCAAGGTCGCCTCTTCCACCAACTCACAGGAAAAGGAGCCCGAATTCAGCTGTTTCTCAAAACTCTATTTTCTTCCCCTGTAGGAATTGGGGCTGCAAATATTTTTCACTAAGCCAGGGGGTTTAGACTCATTGGATATGACTGCTGCAAATGGCTGAAGATGTCATCTGGGTTATCCCCTTTGTGTGATATTTCATTGGCCTGGTCTGGCATCCTGGGAGCTTGAGACTTATCTGGAAATACCTCTTTAGGTTGGTGTGGCTGTGTTTGGACGCTCTGGCTTCCCCTAAATAGAACCTGACTCCTTGAATGAATCCTGAAATATATTTGTGTCATTTGTCCTCTCAACTTACCATGTTTAATTCATGGTCCCTAAAAAAATAAGATAGTGCATTTAAAGAGCTTAGCACCACGCCCAGCCCATTGTAAATGCTCAATAAAATGCCAGCTGTATTTTTTGTTCTTTGGGCTATTTTAATTCTTAGTCTTGGTCAGAGTCAAAATTAAACTAACATTGTGGGTCTAAGCTTTGGAGCCAAAAAAAAAAAAACCAAAAAACAAAATGAAAAAACAACTATCTGCCATATGTTCAGATTTCTAATTGAACTATGCTTTTATGTTTTTTTTTAAGATTTTATTTACTTATTTATTTGGGAGAGAGAGAGCACAAGCTGGGGGAGCAGTGGAGGGAGAAGCAGACTCCCTGCTGAGAAGGGAGCCAATGCAGCTCAATCCCAAGACCCCGACATCATGACTTAAGCCGAAGGCAGCCGCTTAACTGAGTCAGCCTCCCAGGAGCCCCTGAATTATGTTCATGAAGATTAACATTCAGAGACCACGTTTTCATATTCTAATGCCCTAAGAAGATATCATATACCAGAAATCTTACTGCCTGAAGACTGATGTACATTTGCAACAATAAAGCCTGCGTTTTCTGTGGAGACCTGAGCCAGCGGTTGGTTTTATTACCTTTTCCTAATAAAAATAAGAGAAAAGAGAACACAAAACATACACATTTGCTTTCCACGGTACACAACTTCTTACTCAAGTAGTTTCAAGCACATCAAAAATCAAGATTCTAGGCTGCTGGGCTGGAAATCGCTTGGCCCGAAGGGGGGAAAAGATCTTTCAGCTTGTGGTGTCCGGTGCTCTGTGTTTTCTCCTGGGTTTCATTCACATTGGAGAGAGGAATAGGGAGTGAGAAGAAGGAAGAGGAATGTTGGCGGATGGAAAACATTCCTAAACTAGAAGATGCTATTATTGCACCTTCAGGCATTTCTGTTCCTGGAGCAGGTACAGACCAAATGCCATCTGGAAAAACCTGAGCCCAAACTCATGTCTTCTAGTCACAACAATAACAACAAAACCCAACTCCGTACAACTGGGGGAGGGGGCGTTTGTTTATATAACGTGTCTATCCGGTCCCACACAGTAGTCTCGCCGCTCAGCGCTTCTCATGCCCCCTACTGGAGAAAGCAAGCATGCTTCAGAATTAAAGGGCCGCAGAAGTTCCCATTTCCCTCCAACTCTGTACTTGGGGAACCTCTAAGGCAGAGAGGGCGCAAAGTTCAGCTTTGACCCAAATAACGTCTTCGCCTCTCCTGAAACCCTCTCCTGCACCCTCTTGGATCCGGTGTCCAAAACGACTGCCAGACTCTGTTTCTTGGTGCGAAGAAAAAGGACTGGCCAGACTAAAAAGGAGGGACTTTGGGGAAATGCAGGATTCCAGCCCTGGGCTGCGGCCCGGAGGGGATGATGTCACCGCTCCGGCAAAGCGAGGGCTGGGGGGGGGGGGGGGCGCGGGTGCGGCCGAGGGGGAGCCCGCGCCGCTCCCGCCGCTGCCAAGGGAGCGTTCCGAGCCCACGTCAGGGGACGCGTCGGGATAAATAGGGTCCCGCAATGGCCGAGGCCGGCTGCGCTCGGAGCTGCCGGGTCGGGGACTGGAGCTGCCTGGGCGGGTCCGCGCCCCGCAGGCTGAGGGCTGGCGCTGCTCGCGCTCGGTGCGCCGGACGCCGGATACCCCCGGCCGCTCCCGCTGTCCCGCACCGCTGCCGACCGCAGCGCGGGCGGAGAGCCTCTCCCGTGCCCCCGAAGGACTTCCTCCCCAGGGAAGGGAGGACGAGAGACTAGGGGGGCAGCAAGCCGGGGGCCCCTTCTGCCGGTCGGGGTGGCGGCGCGCCAGCGCAGTGCCATGCTGCTCTCCGTCCTGGCGGCGCTGTGCCTGGGGCTGCGCCTGGCGCTCGGCGTGCGCGGCGCGCCCTGCGAGGCGGTGCGCATCCCCATGTGCCGGCACATGCCCTGGAACATCACGCGGATGCCCAACCACCTGCACCACAGCACGCAGGAGAACGCCATCCTGGCCATCGAGCAGTACGAGGAGCTGGTGGACGTGAACTGCAGCTCGGTGCTGCGCTTCTTCCTCTGCGCCATGTACGCGCCCATCTGCACGCTGGAGTTCCTGCACGACCCCATCAAGCCGTGCAAGTCGGTGTGCCAGCGCGCGCGCGACGACTGCGAGCCCCTCATGAAGATGTACAACCACAGCTGGCCCGAGAGCCTGGCCTGCGACGAGCTGCCTGTCTACGACCGCGGCGTGTGCATCTCGCCGGAGGCCATCGTCACCGACCTCCCCGAGGGTGAGGCCGAGGGGAAGGACCGAGGGGGCGAGGGGCATTCTTGGCAGTTGCTGCCACGTGAGAACCGGGCGGCCACTTCTCCCGATGCCAGTGGGTGGACGGTCAGCACCCCCCACCCCACTTCCGAGGGTTGGGGGAGGTGGGAAGGGCTGGTGACCAGACTTTGGGGAAAAGTCTGGTTTCCCTACAGGAATTTCGGAAGCTGAAGAACACCACGTCCCATAGATTATGTGTGTGCAGGGTGAGGAGGTGCTTATAAGTGAGCCACTGGGGGCATTGTCATTGACAGAGAAGAGCGGCAATAGCAGGTGGGGCATAGGACGGGGCTGAGCCAGTGTTAAGCACTTTCGTTTAATCCTGAAAACAGTCCCACCGGGATTCTCCAGTTAGTGTCAGCTCTTGAAAACTCTTGCCGAAAAAGGCAGTACCAGTCATCACTCCCCACCAGGAGTGCAAGTTTGTAAATTTAGTTGTTCTGGAAAATTGTGACGTCTGTTTCATAGTCAAACTCTGTGGCGTCTTCCTTAACTGGATAACAACTTTTGCTTCCTTTTTTTTTTTTTTTTTTTTGTCACTTTGCTGCTTTTCTAGGATGAAGGAGCAAGTTT